AAAAAGAAGAAATGGAACATCGTACAAAAACTAACAAACAAACAATCATACTATGAGTATATATTCTGAAACTGTCTATGAACGGACAAATGTTTTGGCAAATTCTATGCAGAGGCAAGAATGAAGGCCTGGAAACATTTTTGATAAAATAGTAAAAAAAAATTACATCAGGAAGTTTGCAATGGCTCTCGTTTGTTCTTCTTAGCATTTCGCTTTGGCGGTCAACATCTAGTACTCATTGCGACTCGATCTAGATTGCAACAACCGTTAAGGCTTTTGTGTCTTTCACCTCAAAAGTGTTTGAAAAAAATTTGAATTGGTTTTGTTAAGTTGTGGTTTCGTTTTAGCAAGGGAGTAACACTGCGCTTACACCAGACTCCAATCTACAACCTCACTTGTCCTCGACATTTTCGAAACAGACTTGTTTTCTATAAACTAGCTTGTTCTGCTTACATCTTCCTCAAAAACCCGCAATTCAAAACCCACCTTATCGCTCTTCCACGGCTGAGCCCATAGTTGATGAAAATTTGTGGTTTTTGTGCAACTCGAGGTTTTATTGCTTTCTTTGCTTTTGTATACTTTTTGTTCAAGGATGTAGGATTGTTTTGCGCTGGGCTCTTATATAAACGCGCTTAGTAGACAATTTGTGAAAACTTGTTGAAAATACCTCCCGACAAAGCTTTGAAATGTCTTTATAAGTACAATTTTAAAAGGAATGCTCTCTCCTCCACTGTTTTACTCCATTGATGAGCTTAAATTTTGATGATTGCGGCGTTTGCCTTGACTTCCACAAGTTTCAAACCGTACTCGCTTGATAGTTCGATTTGAGTCAAAGTCATCGTTTTCTTTGCATGTTTTCACCAATGCGGCTGTCTAATTTCTTCCCCTCCCTCCGATAGATGTTTTATTCCTGATCAGGCTAAATCTGTTGTTTTTTTTAAATTTCCAACATAACGTAACAGGGGCGGATCCAGGAATTTTTGTTTGGTGGGTGGGGGAGGGGGGTCCTAACTTTGGTTCAGAAAGGACTGTAGTTGCACTTTTCTGTGGCAAATTACTTCTTCCGCTACACCGCACACACCCTCCAACCAGTCACGGTTGCACGTTATAATTCCTTGGCCCCTTACCGTGTATTTGCGAGCAGGTCCTAGGAGGGTACCCAAAAACAATTTTGATCTTGAACATCCCTGGAATTAGGTTAAGTGGCAAAATGCAACGCGCGATAAATTAAAGAAAATCAGCCAGATAAAAAGTGATATACGATCTTATCGATGTAAGAAATTCAGTCTCAAACAATCGTCAGGTCTGATGCCACTACATAAATATAATTGAATAGCTCGGGCCGTAAAACAGGAATTTTTCATCGCAGTATCAGATGAGAGCAAAAGCGTGTTTGTCAATTCTGTGATTTTTAAATTCTCTTTATGATAATCCTCGGATAAATTGAAGATTTTTAACAGTTACTAGTGAGTACAGCTGAGCAAACAAACCCATGCAATTATGAGATTTGAGTTAGAAACGAAGTCGGTTCGAAAGCTCAAATTTAAGACTCGATTAACAACATTAAAGCTGATTTGTTTCACACGATTACAACAACAGGAAAAAACGCTCATTTGCAACTATGACTACCTAGATTAAATCTTTAGCTGCAGTGAGGGATTTTATTTTTTGCACACTGAAAATAGAAAAAGTTACTGAGACAA